ACATCTCATTATAGATCAGCACTAACAGATGAATACTTGCGAGCAATTGAACGAGAGGGAACACAAATTTCTGAAACCCAAGTAAGCAAAATGTTCTTCTCCCAAAAAGAATTCCATTCTTCTCATTAGTAGGTCTGTATTACAATAACTGTACTCAATTGTAACATTTCAAATTTTGTCAATTGAAAATCTGTATTAATTTTTTTCTCTCATTATTTATATAAAAGCCTACAGAATATCCTTGAATTTGTCTCTAGGCCTGCAAAGCCTCAACTATTTGCTCTCTGGCCTCTGACGTTTTGGTAAGGTGCCCTCACTGAAGCTGCTCCCTGCTCAGTGGCTGACCCATCGCCAGAAGCACACATAATCCAGGGAGAGATAGCAACCACACACCTTAATCCCAAGTAGGTGGGGCAACCAGGCATTAGCAGTGACACTGAACACAAGAACCGGCTACATCGGATGCAGATTGCCTTTGGTTCTCTGATGTGAAAATCAATTCTGCTCTTGTTCATCTTCTTAGGGTTCCTCTTTGCTAGCTAGACTCAGGTTTTGCTGGATTATTTTTTCCTTCTCCATTTTATATCAACGCTGACAAGAAAAAGATAGGTCCTAGTGCACATCTGTCATGGGGAGAGGCAGAGAAGTGTTGCAAGACGATGCTCCCGATTCGTGCGGACACACCTCTTCTAATTAGAGACGATGACCTTCTTCCTCCCCCTGGCCTTCTGCCAGGTAAGGCGAGTGTGCCATGCCTGGGGCAGGCCTCCGTTACCCCACTCTGCCTGTTCTCCCCAGGAAGTGCTTGTCATGCCTGCGTGACAGGGGAGCCACCATGAGAAGGGACAAGAGGCAGTTTTTCTCTTCTCTTCTCTGCTCCTGATGTGTGCTCATGCAGGAGCGGAGAGAACTGAAGAGGGAGGGATTGTTCTAGCCTGGCTCTTTGGTTGCCCATGGCCTCGAATTTTCTCCTGGCTAGAGCTAGAGTTCATTGGCCATCTTGACTCTTCTTGAGACAGAGGAACGGAAGCTCACGTCTGGGACCTCAGTGGGACAGAAGTGCTCAGAGCTGACACACTGGTTCAGTGTTCACACATCTGGGCACCCACGTGTGAACCGCAGTCTGTTAGAAGAGGAGGGCTCCGTGACCTCCATCACCATTTTTTCAAAGGGAAGCTAAGACTAAGGCGTTAACCAACTTGCCCAAGTTCACAAGCTACTAAGTGGGCGAGCTGGCCTCAAACCATGGCTGCCATTCTGAAACCGGAGCTTGGTCTGACCGTGTCATTCTTCTCATCATCCTGGTGGGAAAGAGAAGAAAATGGCGCACATTCCGGGGGACCCAGGTCAGGGACCAGCAATAAGTCAGCGGCCGACTGCTGGGTCTGTTCACTGCTCAGCCTGGGTAGAAGGATCTGCTCCAGATGCTGAGTCTCGGACGAGGGGCCCGTCTCAGAACAGCTAATGGCCCCAACCCAGGCCTGTGCCATAAACAGAATTCTGGAAGGGGCATGACAAGGTTATTCTAACTACAGAAAATACACTGGCTAGAAGAATCCAGACAGTAATGGAGTGTTGTAATGTAGGTGAGCCACATTACAACCCACCCTGGCTAGAATCAGCAGAGGTGGGGAGGGAGGTGGGAAGGAGAAAAGTCATCACTTCTCTCCCCTGTCTCTCCGCCCTCCTCCCCGCCGCCCCACCTCCACCCCAAAGGGAGAGAACATTCAAATGTATCCTTGGGCTGGTTTCTTCTTTGCTTCAGCTTCCTCAACTATAAAATGGGTTTAACAACACTAACCCCTCACGGGATGGCTGGAAGGGTGCAATGAGAGCAGGCGTGGCACAGTCCCTATTATGCTATAGGCATTCAATATATGGTAGCCACTAGAACGACTAATATGTAAGCCATGCTCCAACATGGCAGATACCTTTTTCCTTTTGCTCACTGCACTATTTCCTCCTCTGTCCCCTCCCCCACAAAACTGGCGGTACCAGTATGACACAGGCAGAAAATGAAAAACTTGATCCTTATGATGACAAAAAGCAAGTCACACTGGTGTGCCTAGTGTTACAGAGGCTAAGACTCAGAAACACACCAATACCTCCAGGAGCCAGGGAGGGGCGGCCCAGCGATGAAGGAGTTAAGAGCAGATGGTCTGGTGCCAAGCTGTTTCGGTTGAAATTCGGGCTATGCCACTTCTGTGGGATAGTTTACAAGCGATTTAATCTCTCTGGGCCCCAGTATTGTCAGTTGTAAAATGGCGATAAAAACAGTATCTACTCTATAGGGTTGGCGTGAGGATTAAATACGTAAATACCTGTGAAGGGTTCAGAACAGTGATTGGCACAGAAATGCTAGAAGCATTAGCTGCTACTGCTGTTACTATGAGCACCATCCTCATCACAGTGCATAAAGGTCAGGGCAGGACAGAGCACAGCTCTCTAAAGATGGGTCCACTGGTGTCCCAGCAGCTTGTGATGAGAGGGAGAAACTTAAGCTGCTGAGTGTACCCCCTCTGCCCCACCCCTACCCCCGGAGGCAGCTCTGTAACCCAGAATGGCTGTAACCTGGGAAGGTGCTCCGCTGCGGGCAAGCCTGTAACATAGGAAGGAGCTGTCTCACAGCTCTGGGCCTGTAGCACTGGAAGGCAAAGCCACCAAAGCCAGGCCGAGGCCAGTGGCATCAACTCAGTCTTCTGGGGCCTCAGGAAAAGGAAGCGTGTGGCCAGGGGGCCCAGATGGTCGAGATCCATGTCCCTCCGGACCACTCACCTGAATCATAGAGGACAGAAAGGATGATCAGGAGCCCGAGCAGGGTGAACCCTCCTTTGCTTCCCATTGTCTACAGAGTCTGGAAGGAAGACACACAAAGAATCGTCATGAACCAACATATGACTGACTACTGACTGGTTATCTCAGAAACCAGGAATTAAAGGTCTGGGGGGCTTCAGGAACATGGGGAAGGAGCTAGCAGGCCAAGAAAACACAGGGAATCTACCAGGTGGCTTGCCATGAAGCAAAGGATGCTCTCAGAGGGGGCAGCACTTGATCCCCTCTCCTGCCCTAAGACCTCAGCTTACTAAAGAAAGGCTGTCGATCCTGGTGAGAGGGGCAGCCATGGGGAGTCACAGCACACAGGGCCCAGAGTCAGGACTGCCTGGGCCCCACCCTAGCTCTAACCCAGCCATGGGCAAACTATGGCCCACAGGCCGGACCTGGCCTGTTTGAAATGAATAAAACTATTGAAAAAAAAGACCGGACCCTTTTAGGTAATGATGTTTACTTTCTTAATACAGCAACTGCAATCCCTGCTCTGCTGTCATTCCACCCAGTGCTGTTGGCTGCGCCAGAGCCTAGTGAAGGCCACTTCTCCAGGCCATGCCTCTAAGGGCATCCGGCCAAACGAGTGACTCTGGAGGGCACCACCATGTACCCGGGAGCAGAACAGGAGGCAACAGCTCAGCATGCTGGAAGCTCCCGCTCCCCACTTTAGCAAGTATAATGGGAACACCTCCTTGTTCACTCTGGGGAAGTAAATGGAGTTCCAGGTGTGAGAAATGCTCACCTGTCCCAATTCAAATAACTGGACTCAGAGACATGAAGTCCAGTGAAAATGAGACCTTTAATGCAGTCTTGCAAGATTGGGAGTCTGGTTGAGTAGGCACGCCAGAGCAGCAGGGATCACAGGCAATTTATCCCTAGTGTGTGAGTCCTTCCCGGTTCCTCATTGGCTGAGGACTATGGGGTTAACAGTCCCCCCACCATCCTATACCTTACCTAGGTCTATTGTCTCCTATTGAGTTATTTTTTTAAAAAATGGGTTGTCTTTTCTAGTTGTCTCCACCTCCCGTTGTCTAGCTGTGGCTGGCGGATCTTCCTGAAAATGTGCTGCTGGCCACATACACAGCCTGTTCTCATCCTCTTTCCCATCTTTCCTAATCCTGTTTGCCCTGGGAATTTCAGTAACCGACTGGCAACATGCTGTTGGCATTCTCCACTAAAAGTTGACTATGCTGAAGGTGGATCACACAGGCCTATTTCCTACTCAGGCAACTTTGATGACTAGTCCACACTACATTCATGCCTAGATGTGTAGCAGTGGGCATCAGGGACAGGAGGGAGGGCTGCAATGCCTTAAACCCTCTTTTCTGCTAAGGAGAAGTCAAGACACATGGAGATTTTTAATTGTCTGTGGCAAAAAGGGGACCACATACTAAACCTGACAAGCTTGGGGAGTCCTGCATGGCAGGTCCTACAAACTCAGAAACTGAAGTAACCAATCAGGATGGTCTGAACATAAAAATTCCTAATTAAAAGCAGGTCATGGCAGGTAGTCATATAATAGGCCTACAGCTTCTTTGACAAAGGTTAGTCTTTACTGACTAGCTGAAGGTGGATCACACAGGCCTATTTCCTACTCAGGCAACTTTGATGACTAGTCCACACTACATTCATGCCTAGATGTGTAGCAGTGGGCATCAGGGACAGGAGGGAGGGCTGCAATGCCTTAAACCCTCTTTTGTCTGCTAAGGAAGTCAAGACACATGGAGATTTTTAATTGTCTGTGGCAAAAAGGGGACCACATACTAAACCTGACAAGCTTGGGGAGTCCTGCATGGCAGGTCCTACAAACTCAGAAACTGAAGTAACCAATCAGGATGGTCTGAACATAAAAATTCCTAATTAAAAGCAGGTCATGGCAGGTAGTCATATAATAGGCCTACAGCTTCTTTGACAAAGGTTAGTCTTTACCTTAAGGAACCTATCTTGGTTTTTTTTTGTTGTTTTGTGTTTGTTTGTTTGTTTGTTTTTGTATCTAAGATAACATAGCTTTGGAATTTCAGAGTATTCTCCTTTGCCAGACCCTTTAGGGCTCACCCACCACACCTGAGCATGAAGCCACAGAACCATTCCTCATTGTTATTTTGTTCCCCCGAATACCATCTCCATGTGTTGTAAATGTTAATTATTAACCATCCTCAACCCACCAAGGTAAATAAGCTTTATACCACCCCTATGTGTTGTAAATGTTAATTATTAACCATCTTCAACCCACCAAGGTAAATAAGCTTTGCTTTCTCTCACCTCCCTAATCTACCACCAATGAATCTCATGGATTCCCCCCGTATGTCACCTCTTTTGATTCTAATGCATAAAATAAGCCGGGTGACTACATTTAAGAGGAAGAGGAAGGCAGCAGTCTCAGAGATACGGGAAAACAGAAGAGGCAAGAGCTTCAGAGTGAGATAGATTTCACCTACTACTGATTCTTAAGAAAGAAGAAGGGGGCCACAGCTGAGGCAAACAGGCGGCCTATGAAAGCTAAGAACTGTCCTCAACTGACACTCAGCCAGGAAATGGGACTTGAGTCCTCCAACCACAAGGACTGT